CCAACCGTACGGCTTAACTGTTGGTCAAAAAGGTGAGAGATTGTACACCTCGGCAAACGCTTGGAAACACAACCAGGGATTTTCGGTGCGTCTTACGTCACACGATACCCGTACCTATAAGTTCACACGAACTACCGTTGGACAAACAAATCAGTTCTAATACGATTTTATAATGAAGGGATTGAGATAAATCAAGGATACTCCTCGTTTGAAGTTAATCTTTTAAGGGTCAATAGGGCAATTAAGGGCACCTTTCAAAGGTAGAAACTTTAAGGGCGCTTAAACGTGTTGATTAGAAGAACCCTACTCCGAAACCGCGAACCTGGGAGATCTACATTCTTGAGCGTATTTTTCTCAGGAAGCTCAACTAGTATAAATCAGAGTAAAGTGAGCCTGACACAGAGCCATCCTCAACAAGGCTGGACAGTGACACTGAAGAGGAAGACTCAGAGTGTGATGTTGATGAGGCCCAGGAAGAGCCGTTGACTGAAAGGGTTTAGCCAAAATGCAGAGGATCGTTTGAAGGAAGATGTGCATGTTTAATGGGACTTTTTGGAGGGAGAAGGGCTCTTTTCATTTAACATTTTGAATGGGACTTTGTGAGGATCTTTGGATGGGGGGTGCATTTTGTTTCATTTTTTAATGAGTGGGGTTGGGGTGGATGAGTAACATTTAACTCAACATTCCTGTTTTCGTTCTTCAATGAAACAAATAATTGTTCAATAAAATAATTAAAACTTGTTCTGTTCTACTTAAAAAATAAATAAATGTTGAAATGTCAGGTTTTTTTGTTTAATTTTGCATCGAATATTTCCAAAATTCCCCAGCTTAACTTCCCATGGAAACTTTCCGGAAATTAACCGGAAATGTTCCGCCTTTGCAACCCTACAAGAGATTTTAAACCCTTTTTCCAATAGATTTACGGACACTATTTGTCAATCAGGTTCGGACATTCTCAGATCAGAAATGAAGGAATTAAGTATGAAGACATGGCACAAAAGCTGTCATGTAGCTGGTTTGTTACTTTGTTGTTAACATGAGTCTCTTAAAGTGACTTAGTTTGTCTCATGATTTGGAGTTGGCTCAAACCCTAACCCTAAATCTATCCATCTTTTACTGCTTATCCAGGGTTCGGAGAAGGCTCAAACCACATCAACTGGCTCCTTTCTACGCCAAGAAGCACCGGTTCTACTTCGAGTATCTTCCGACTTATCTTATCCCCAAGGGAGATGTCATCCGCCCTCGAGAGAAAAACCCATTTCAGCCGCTTGGATCCGCAATCTCGTCCGTTTTGGTCATGACCCATCCTTCATGACCATAGGTGAGAGTAGGAACAAAGATGGACAGATAGACCCAGAGATACTGGAACTCCATCACTTTGGGTAAGGACTCGAGTCCATTGGCTAACCCTTATCCATTAAATGAACTGATTTGGTCCTTTGTGTTCTCATATACAGTTTCCCGTGGTAGGTTCAGGGACGCAGTGCATGTGTGAAAGAGACTATACTTAAGACATGAATAACTGACCTTGAATACGATCAATACAGTATTCTTTTCAGACTTCACAATTGTTTTCCATGCATGAGTCGATAAGTTACAATAGGAGCTGATGTCTCTGTAACACAAAAGGAGTTGTGGATCCAATGCTTTTTCTGTTTACAGACTTATTGCAGCCTGCGGAAGGGATAGTAGCATTGCAGGTCACTTTTCATCACTGGCCGTCCCCTATAATCCCACATCATTTAAAGCAGATGTGTCAAACGCAGATGTATTCAGCTTTATACACCCTCTGATGTTTTTATCAGCTCAATATGCAGCGAGCTGATAAGCAGTGCAGTTAAACGATTGTTTCTCATAGAGATATCATCTTCCCCTGACTCTCATTATATTATCCTGCAATGAAAACTGACAAACAGGAGGATAAAAGGACGTGTGGGGGTTTTATGAGATACGTGTCAGTTCTTTAAAGCAACGTTTCAAAAACAAGCCGACTTTCTACTGTGTCGCAACAAAAATGAGAAACAGAAATGCATGACAGTGCAATAACAAGGATTAACACAATAACTAAGTTGTTTTTTGAAGCATCCTTTTAATGCCTTGTGAAAATAACATGTTGTAAGACATTTTAGGAAGGACGCTCTTAGAAAAATTCCTCCTTTGTGTTAATATCCCTCTGGCATGTCTCGGCACTGACTGTTAAAGCAAAGAGGGAATCTTGTATTGAAAAGAATATCTCTAAAAGACTTGAAGAGATATCTGAATGATTACAGCAAGCAATATCTGTTTCCATTAACAAATGGATGTTTTTCTAAAATACAGACTTTAGATATTGGAAAGCTAAGCATTAACACAAAGATTATATTAGGTCCTAAAGCTTAAGAATATACTAAATTGAGTGAAAAAATCCAATCCAATCCAACTTTATTATATAGCACTTTAAAACCTTCAGACCAAAGAGACTGTACAGAGAGATAAGCTCACAAAAACATAAAATAAATACATTTAAAAANCACTAGGTCAGAAACCAGAGGACACTGTGAGGTCCACTGCAGACGGACCACTTTTGGACAAAATGTACTCTCCATTAAAGGCAGCTCATTGTGGAATAGCCTCCCAACTGAGATACGGGATTGTCCCACTCTCAATAGCTTTAAAGGTCAACTCAAAGAATGGTTGAGAAACAAACAGACGGGCAATCACCGCTAAATGCACTTTAACACAGGGGTATCTCCTCTTGCACTTTATGTAGCTCTTGTATCATCTCTTGCACTTCATATGTCGTTGCTGCTACATTGTACTGCCATTTGGTAAATGCTTGTATGCTGCTCATGTTCTCCCTGCATATCATGTATTTCTGTTTGCTATGTATATAAATGTCATGTTCTTATATGTTGTATGTGAGGGGACTGCGGATGGAAATTAGCTCAAATCCGGCTCATTTACTCTTGTAAGCATTATTTTTATTTTAAAGTGTTCATCAATGTGCATTGTCCCGGTTCAAATAAACGATTAAATGAAAAAGGTAGGCTGGGGGCACATTTCAATTCGAGGTGGGAGGGTATTTGTTTGACAAAATTCGGACAGAGTAATTGATTTGATAGGAAAGGAAATCACTAAACTGAAAACCCACCAAGAGGATCATTAGAATAATGATACCCTGATCAGTATATGCAAAGCTTATAGACTGAAGTGGTACAGCTGAAATCACTGAAAGGCACTTGGTGTGGAAAAACCAATGCACCGTTGGGTTAACTGTCAACACCCTCAAGGACAATTTGAACTGATGCCTTCAGGGCACTGCTGCAGAGCAAGACAAAAATCAATGGTAGAAAAAACAGAGGTAATTACCTCTGCAAATAGTTTACTTAATTGGGAGCTCGACATGAAGCAGCCTCTTGTGCTTTTTCAACTTTGCTTCAGTGCGAAAAGAGAAATAGCCAAAAACAAATATCCACGATCGTTATTTAAAGACATTAAATGATAGTTAGTGAAATTGGACTGCCAAAATAAAATCACTTGAACGACAAATGCTCAAAAATAATATTCGAGCCATCGATTTACTCTAGGGTAAGGGGAAAATAAAGCTTATACAATTAGTTACGTTCTCAATGATAAACTGACTGGACTAATGTATGATAAATGTCATATTAACCATCTCAGGATGTTTTCTAAAAACTAACAGGTTACCATTGCAGAAGACTGCAAAACGCAGAAAGTCCAGGTAACGCTCGCCCTCCACAGGGTTCCACCCGATGTCAGGGTAGCCTTTAGCCACAAGCATCGGACAGCTCCGGAGACCACAGCCAGCGAGGTACTGGACCACCTGGAAAGCAGATTACACAAAAATGGTCATTGCAGCGACTTGACAAATAATATGGTACAGCACAGAAAACTAAGATTTCCTAGACCAGGGGTGTCAAACTCAAATACACAGTGGGAAAAGAAAAAAAATCGGTACTCGTCGAGGGCCGGACTGGTAGAATGTTTATTGCAAAACGTATTGAAATGAACTTATTGCACATATTAAACCTGGAACCAACAAAGCTTAAATTATTGCCTATAAAAACAACATTAAATAATCAGTTGCATTCATTTCTTATGGCTCTATCTGCAGATTTTCTGGAGTCATTTCTTATGATTACATTTTTCCACAGGCCAACAACAGCTTCAAAAAAATATTTCCCTCAAAGAGAAAACCAAACATGCCCTGTTGTCGTGAGAGAAAACGTGCAGAAGGAAACATCCATTGAAACTCAGTGTGCTGCTCTGTGATGCTAGTTCAAGCAGATACTTGGCATCTCATCTTGGGTGCAATTTCATCAATGTTTGGTGTCAGGCTCTGAGCTGAGGAAACACTCAGGATTGAGTGAAGGTGTGCGTGCAATATACCGGCGGGCCAGATCTAATAGTAATTAGAAATAATCCTGCGGGCCGCAATTAAATCCAACAAGGGCCTGATTTGGCCCCCGGGCCTTGAGTTTGACACATGTGTCCTGGACAGTGATAGAGCCACCCAAAAATAAAATACAGATGGATGAAACAGCTAACTAATATGCAACAGCATGTTCATAACAGACCAGATAACTTACCTCTGTGTATATGAAATAAAGGAGACTATTACCAGAAGTATTACAGAGACAGACTCACCTTCTCTAGGTCAGGTTCCCTCAGCGCTAAAGCCAGTTCGTTATTATCCATAACCGAGGCTGCTGCCACATCCAGAGGAGTGGCCCCACGCATGGATGGGGAAGCTAAGGGACAAAGTTATAAAATAATTTAAACACCATATACTATATAGAGAGTAAGGACGATATTGGGGGTACTTTATTGAGGGGGCAGGATCTTAACACCAACACAAGGTTGTTTTCTTAAGTGCAAAATAATGCCCTAATAAAGCAAAGAGTCATCCAATAAAACATATCGGTGTAATTCAATACTAACAGCCCTGCCCCACAGTTTCACTTTGTAGACTACTCTAGTGAAACTTTCAATGTTAAAAATTTAAAAGTAAACAGCTTTACAAACCATGGTCTGGAAAAGTAGCCCGAGATCAATAAGCACCTCTCTAAAAAACTAATTATGTAGAGCAATGAAGCATTAGTGCGCAACATTATACACTTATAGGAGTGTCTTGTAAGAGAATAAAATGTACCTAGTCCAACACTGCTGTTTTCCAGCAGGTAGCTGAGATGGTCGAACAGGGCCCCCTGATTGTGACGGCTGATGCGGCAAAAATAACACAGGAATCGACAGCAGCTGGCCACCATCTTGGGAAAGGTAATCTCCTAACAAAAGAATAATCAATGCATAGATCTAAAGAAGATGTGACGAGGTAAGGGTTCAACTGACTGTACTGCAGGGAATATTGCTCCATTAATAATTTAGTTATAACACGTTATTTTTACCTCCAGCTTTTTCAACCTTGACTAATACACAATGTGTGCACTTACTCAGAGTTCAGGGTCATTTCCATTCATTAACTTGTATGACAAATAAAATCTCTTTAATCATGATCAATGTACTTTTAGAATATGATCTACTGTATGAAACACCAATAGTGTTTAAATAACCAACTAATGTAAAGATCTGCATCTCCAAAGGATTTATCAATACGTTTCAAACCTCTCACCTTTGATTCCCCTTCTCCAAGAACATTAACCATCACCTCCATCACGGTCTCATGAATCCCCAGCGCCCTCATTAGGTCAGGGTGCTGATAGAAGACCTTGTTATTCATTATGTCTCTATACATAAAAACACAAAGAAAATGACAAAAAAAGAATGGAAATATGTTAGAAAGCAATCAATTGTTGTTGATTGAAGAAAATAAAACAAATACACATCCGATCATCATCCTGCAAAAAAGAGCCATACGAGTTATACATTTACAATTACAATTTTTTTTTTTTTTTTTTTTTGTACTTTGTTATAATTATTATTATTATTATTATGAGTGAGAAAAAAAAGAATATACCGTATATATATTATTATTATTGCTGTATGTGTTGTTTCTGACATGTTCAATAAATTGACAAAAAACAAATTAAAAATCCATTTCGCATGACAAACGTCCCCCTACCCTAATCTTCTGATCATCAGCCGCTCCTCTTCCTTCCCCATGCGGACGCTGAGGAGGGAGCGGATCTGGCTCAGAGAGGACAGCAGAGCCATGGTGTCTTCTACCGAGGCCTGGCTGATGGTGTAGGCTCTGCGGAGGTGCTCTGCCATTTGGCCCCCGAGGCCCTGATACTGGCGGTGCAGCAACGTGAAGACGGCCCTCACCAGCTCAGGGTCCTCCATCTCCGTCTCCTGAGCCCAACGCCCCATCGTCTCAGAGATCAGCGTTTTCAGGGACTCTGAAGCAGGAAATAATTATGTTACATTTAAAAAAAGGTAATTATCCAACACAATAATTGTTATAGGATCTGCTACAGAAGATAGATTTCCGGCAGTAATACACATTTTTTTTAAAAGTCAAAAATTCATTTAAAGACAGAACATTATGTCCTATATTATTTTTCCATCAGAATCAGAATACCTTTCTTAGTCCCATGGAGGGGAAAGGTGCGTAGTTACAGCAGGAAAATGAGCCACAGACAGCTTAATGTTACATAATGTTAAATATGTGACATGCATTAAAAAAAAGTACTAAGTTATGATGTAATAAAAAATATAATAAAAAATAATAAATTACATCATTTAAAAAAAATACACATCCTGTAACAGTTCTTAGGATTTAGCAGCCAGGTATATATTACACAGTTATTAACGGCATTTATATATTGCACATAGTTTGTTGGTATTTAGCAGCAAGGGGTGATATACTGTAGTCTGTGTTGTGGTTTAAGTGTAATTATGATATCTCACTTTTATTGTTATCACATTTAGCACTAGTATTAGTCATTTTACACTTAATGTTTATGTTGTTGTTGTATTTTCTTAACAATCTATGGCCCACACATTTCCTTCAGGATTAATACATTTCCATCTGATCNNACAGTTATTAACGGCATTTATATATTGCACATAGTTTGTTGGTATTTAGCAGCAAGGGGTGATATACTGTAGTCTGTGTTGTGGTTTAAGTGTAATTATGATATCTCACTTTTATTGTTATCACATTTAGCACTAGTATTAGTCATTTTACACTTTATGTTGTTGTTGTATTTTCTTAACAATCTATGGCCCACACATTTCCTTCAGGATTAATACATTTCCATCTGATCTTATCCTACATGCACTTACTGGCACTCTGCGGTCTGCTCCCCTCCGCTTCTATTGGTGCCTTTCTCAGTCCAGTGACTCTCGCCACTAGACTGAGAAGCCGATCTTTAAGAGACATCTCAGCATCCTCTTCATCCTCTGTGTCGCTGTCCAACTCAATGCCTGCACAATAAGATGAGAATTCCTCAGTGGCAATGTAAGTGCCTCCTCAGAGCTCTTCCACAGTGACCTTCCTCAATAAAAGGTCTATATTGGTATCAGTAAATGATCAAACAATGTTCCAACCAGAGTGTGTGTTGAGGAGGTGATGGAAGTCTTGCAGGAGCTGCTGGATTTCCTCCGGACACGGACAGTTCTCCTGCTGCTCTTCCTCTCTGAAGTTCAGCAGAATATTGATCTACAGACGGGTCACATATTCAACAAGCATTACAGACAATATTCGGTATCACTTTACAATAAGACTACCCTTATAAAAGGGTTTACGAATAGTTTGTAATTCATTTATTAATTAGGTTGTGAACACTTTATAAATCATTTATAAGCTTTTATAAGACATAAGATAAACAGGGCAACTGTGACCGGTTGCTTGCCAAATAGTGAGCCCACATGTATCTGTACTACGAAAGCCTTATATTGGCTACTTAGCTTATTTCGTCTTCTTCATCAGCCAACATCCTTGGTATCTGTTGTTCACCGAGTCGATTCTCGCTAAGTAGCCAGTATAAGGCTTAGTCATCTTGCCAAATAGAGAGCCCATATGTATCTGTACTGCTAAGCCTTATTAATGGTAGTAACTCATTGTTTTACACTTTACAATAAGGCTCCCTTTTGGCACTTATAAATGTTAGTAACTCATAATCAAATGGTCATAAAGAGATGCCAAGAAACATCAAGACGGAAGGGGGGGAATCAACTCAGTGAACAACAGATACCAAGGATGCTGGCTGATGAAGAAGACGAAGTAAGCTAGGTAGCCAATATAAGGCTTAGTCATCTTGCCAAATAGTGAGCCTATGTCGACGAACTGGTTTATAAATGGTTCTTAATGGTTAATAAAGTGTTTACAACCTAATTCATAACCTAATTATAAACCTTTTATGAATCCTTTATTAGGGTAGTCTTATTGTAAAGTGGTACCCAATATTCTAATAAATTCCAGTTATATTGTGAACCTTGACTGAGCATATCTTTAATGTATTTTAGAGTGCATAGCTCCTGGAACATAGCTACAACTCAGCATGATAAGTTGTATTTTTCTTGGATAATTCATCATGCAAACTCAACCTGCTCCTGTGGAGGTGAGCGGAACTCCTTGGTCTTGCGGGCAGTGAGGGCAGCTGACATGTTGAGCGCTTGCATGACCTGGTTGTAACGAAATCGTTGGTTCTCCTGCAGCTGACCCACAAAGTTGTCAGAGAAGGCAACCACAGCTTCCACCCTGTGGCGCACCTGGCAATCACACAGGTAGGAGAGCAGGTGGCAGAGCTGGAGGAAGGAATATAACAACTTAGCTCTATCTGAAAAAACAAAATAACATAAAGGAATGAGAAAAAGAACATTAAATAAATCTGAATATTCTTTCACCTCAAGTTTGACAGCTTCTGGAAGCATCATTTGAAGAAGTCCTTGATGAGGAGTGACATTTTCTTTTATGTTGCCTCCTGTGCATTGTTCGTCGTCATCATCAGCAGCGTCTTCTTCCTCTTCCTTGTTGAGGGTTTCGGCATTTATGGAGAAGACTGCAGGTTCTATTAGTTTCAGAACTTTCCCCAGATCCTCTTCCCCAAATACACCCAACACCAGTAAGTTGTAGAACAGCTTGATAAGGGGAACTAGCAGGAGCTCAAAGCTGCCTCCTACAGGATGCCTCACATTCTGCCCCACAGCCCACACTCCAGCAGTCAGCATCTCCACAGTCAGGTCCTTCAGTATGTCCAGAGGGATTTCTGGGCTGTCTGTGCAGGTTATCTCACCTTTACCATCCGCCTCTAATCCACCACTCCTGACAAAACAAGGAGTGGAGAAACGCATCTGTGGTTTAAGGGATGTGCTGAGACCAGTGCTGAAAATGCTTTCTGGAGGTGGACTATTCCCCGCATTAACACCATAAGCAGGGCTGGGATAAAGGGTGATTTCTCTGGTCTGGTCAGTCATAGGCACAATGTACTCATGGTTCATCATGTGACATTCAGTGGTGTGGCTGCTCAGGTGAACCTGAAAAAAAAAAAACATGAACACGTTTTTATTATACTCTAAAGACCAACGTTTCCTAACACTTATGTTAAAGGTGGGGTAGGTAATTCACTTCAGAAACACTTTTTGTTATATTCCATGGAATGGTCTTAACATCCCGATGGCAATGAATATATTAAATGCTTTGACAATAAATACATAAAAGAATTTCATCTGTGGAAGCCGTGGTACTGTAAAAAGCACATCCGGCCCGGCTCAGATGACTGGATGGCCTACATGCCTGTCAGCCTTCCATCTCGTGCACAAACTTATCTCATGTCCTCATTGGTCATGTGCGCGTTTGTGTGTGTTGGAGGAGGGGCTCTGTAAGGAAGTCTGAAGGAAGATTCTTTCCGGCTGTGTATTTTCAAATTTTGGCAGTCTCAAAATTCTAGCACACTCGAGCTGGTTTCTCCATTCTTACCTACTCTACCTTTAATGAATGTAACCTTAAAAAAAAGATAGGAATTCAAACAAGCAATTACCTGCATGAGAAGCTGGTAAAACGCAGAGCGGAGCTGACCAGGGAGGTTGGGATCCTGAATGGCATGAAGGAGCTGGGATTGGTCAACATGACTGCAGAGGGCGTGGCAAACTCGAGTGTTTCCAATGGTGCATAAAGAGCAGTAGAGCAGGAGAGTGTGGTGGTGAAAGGTCAAGAAGTCATCCAGTTCTGACAGCTCCAAAATGTCAACAGACCTAAATGTATGAGAAGACAAGATGTCCGTGTTGTTGCTTGCTCAAGATCAAGTACATTTAATAAATTAATTGCGGCACCAAATGTAACAGTCTGTTGCATATTTTTATCAAATAAGTGTTTGCTGTCTGGTGCTTTTAGGATCACAGTGGAACAAAAACACATGTCAGATTAAAGCAACTAATGCACAACTTTCTGTGCACTTAAATCTGCAAGCCCAATTCCAAAAACATATTTATTCCACCTGTTTTCATCGGGGATGTGAAGGGTCATGACCTGCAGGGGCTCATGGCATTGGACCCTCCAGCCATGGCGCTCATCTGGCCGATCCACCATCACCTGTAAAGCACGGTCCGGTACTCTGGTCCACGACACCGGGTCGAGATGCTGCACCTGAACCCTCGGAGGACACTGAGGGGTGGCATTCCTTCTTTGGCTGCGAAGCAAACCGGCTGACAGTGGCATCACATTCTGAAACGAGAAGACGATAAATAAAAGGGAAATGTGTAACAGACTACTTCACATGTATGAAAGGATTCAAAACAAAAAGTTCCTTTACCTTGGTGCTCCCCAGTTCAAACTGGAACATGTTGCTGGTGGTGGGCTTGACGAAAACAGCAGGAAACAGCTTTGTACTGGCTTCCACCTGATTAACAGTGAAAAAAACATCCTCAGTTTAATAATACAACGCTCAAGTTAAACATGACTCACTATAATTACTTTAATTAGTACAAGTAATTAGTGTAAGAGACATAGCTCAATGAGTTTAATGTGTTTTTAATTAAGATTAATATACAAGTACAGGGTATATGCAGCAATCCTGAAGTCCAATGTAATACCTTTTAAGACCTTGTTTAAAACCTCTTAAACCCCACGGAGCCGACGAAGGGGCCGAAATCACAACATCTGCAAGCAAAAGTGTCTGAGGTCTTCTTAAGATTTAATAAACTATGAATGTTTCATATCTATGTAACGGGAAGAAATTCAGCTAACTGATTTTTATTTATTTTTTTTAAACCTCAAAGCTAACACTGAGCCTCTGAATTAGCCACGGGCAAAAAAATATTAAGGTTGTCACAGAACTCTAGCTATACTGATCGATACACTTATTGGATCTCCACAAACAAGCTTAGATAACATCCTGAGATTCCACAGATTATAGAAATATAAGGATCATCACTGAGCAATCTGAACTCGTGACAGGGGAAGCAAATACAGACAACACACGAGTAGCTTTAGGTAGCAAAACACGGAGATATGCTCACATTAGCAGTAATTCTGATCAAAAGTCGTATTCAATGGCATTAAAACGAGAAAAAACACGGCTGAAGGTTAATCCATACGGTAGCTGCGATAGCAATCTGTGTGTCACCATTGACAGTAATTATGATTACTCCATAATTAATTTTATGCTAAAATCGGAGAAGAAAAATTAGCTGCTACATGGTAGCCACCAGAGGCTAGCGCAGCTTCCGTGTTTTTCTACGCGTCACTATTATTCCTTATTTGGTAACTTTCCCTCGATTCCATTGGCTCTGACAGTTAGAAAGAGATGTCAATCATCAAAATCGACCAAGGGGGGCCAGAGATATGGAAAATCCACCCAACTGACCCCAGAAGTGGGGTTTTTTGCTAAATCTCTCTAAAAAGGTCAAATGTCACTTGTTTTGCAACAATCTTGATACAGAGTACTTATTATATGTTGTACTTTGGATTCCTAAAGCTTTTAGTCTACTAACCCATCATTCAAGTTTAGTTTTCACTATAAGTAAAAAAGTTTTTTGGGACGGACACTATAATTTACAGTTTTTTTTATTATGTTCAATCTGAATTTTCTTTAAAATAAAAAACATCTAGATTGATTCTGACTTTTCTACATCCAACTCAGAGGTTTAACAATGCTTTGAGAAAAAATATTATTTATTTTACCCTTTTAGAGGGGAGGGAAGATATGGTCATTTGTTCTGGAAATGTCCTTTTCGAGCCTGAGACCTGAAAAACAGGCTTGGGGCCTAACAGTTAAGACCTTTTTTAAGACTCTTTCCATACATTTTAAGAGCTCATCGCCACTTGGAGTTTTAACCGGTTACATACACACACACTTTACTATATACAGTATTGATTGTCCTTCCTCCTTATCTTCCAATCATTTGGACGCAAACTTGTATTTCCCCATAACGATGTTGCTTAGCAACCGGCGTAAACGGACCTTCGTGCGCTATCGAGCAGTGAGCGTGCGATGTCCTGTTCAGATGACGTCAAATCCAACGGGATGCCATAAATAAACTCCACAGAATCACCTTGCGTTGTCGCTTGCGGTGGGGGGGGCTGAAACTCGACCAACAACCAATCACATGAATCTCCCGCCCCAGACACACAAGCACGCGGTTTGATTGACTAGAGCTTGGACTGGCATATGATTCGATTGGCTGACGCCTCCGTCGAGGCGTCAAAAGTAGAACATTGCTCTACTTTTGCAGCGAGCACCGCGAGAGAAGCTATGCTTTGCTCCCACAATGCAGTTCGGCGAATCGTGACGTCACCCCATTCAAAGTGAATGGGCAGAAGCGTTGAAGTGGCAACGCACACCGCCGTGTGTAGGGGCCGTGAGCGTGCGATGTCCTGTTCAGATGACGTCAAATCCAACGGGATGCCATAAATAAACTACACAGAATCACACTACACACCTACGCAATGATTACATTCAGGCAGACTGTAGAATACAACCTCTTTGGACAATTGATGTACTTATTGAAAACAAGCTTCAAAATGTAATACCTTGGAAAACGCTGTTTAATACTTTTTAATAGCCTTCATTTTTGCTAAATTGATTTATCAACTTTTAATACTTTTTAAGACCACGCGGACAGCCTAAAGTATTACATTTTACAAACACAATACTGATAACTATGAACAAGTCAAATAGATTCCTGTGCAGCGTACTTGGTAGAAGGTGGCCATCTCCACTCCGCTGGAGGTAAAGGTGAGCAGCCCGGTGGCCGTGTCGACTGAACATCCGATTTCCAACCCCGTACTTCTGCGACTCTGGGACAGGCCTGTTGCCTCTCCAGCACACACCATGTAACAGTTACACCGCTTCACACTGTGCAAAAGAATAGGGATAAGCTTAATTGGCAGTTTGCTGATAACTTGACATGAAAAGTCAAATGGAACACATTTTCACAAGAGTTAATAGCATTGAAGTTCAGTAATGATTAGTTCTTCAGTTGAAAAGTAAATCGTAAAGTAAATTATGACACTATCATCTCTCACTGCAATTAGTATTTAAATTTGAGGTTAAGGTCCCCAGACTGAAAGTATGAGAGTTGTGGTGTTTACCAACCTTTCCTGGACTTTGCCACTGTCATCTCCAAGGGTGACGGTTACAGTGAGGGCATTGTCGGTGTCGAACGTCACGTCGTGTTGATGAAAGTCAGAGGTCACCCAGCCTGCCCACACATTGAACGCCTCCTGGCCCGGAAGAACCCTCACGGAGTAGTAATACTGAAACACAGAGGGCAGCGGGTGTCACTGCTATTTGCATTCCATGTCTCTTTTATGGCTATTGAATATCTGATGGGGAATAATTTGCCCTGCATGTCCTCCTTCGCCCTCTGACGCAGCTGACCAACCTTGAGCAGCCGTTATCTCCCATAAGGAGGGGCTGCCCAAACATTTTGTTGATGTTGCCAGTTTATGACCGGGCAACTTCTGGTCAGAGATAGTTATTGTTGTGGGACACCTGGAACAAATCCTTCTCGGGGTGTACTGTAGATGACTGTAATGACCCGAGCCATAAGCTACAACAACTGTGATTCAGTGTCCTCAGCTGTTTAGTCTATCTATTGAAGAATGTTGATTATTACACTCCGAACTAGTTAAAACCTGGAACTACAGGAGGGTTCTTCAGAATTGATTGTGGCATCTCAACCGTGTGGTCAGACCGTGGCCCGTGACATGTCTTGTGAATTCTCCGGCCGTAACTCCAAATAAACCAACAGTGTTTGCCATCAAAGCCCCAGCTCTCCATGTGTCTCTCTGAGTCCAATTGCTTCAGAAGTTTCCCCAACAATATCCACCAGAAAAAAGCTTAAAAGCTGCACTCTGTATGAACTCAAGCCCTGCAGAGCAATTGGTTTTATTTAGGTGCACTCTGAGGCGGCAGGGAAAGTTTCCTGTCATTAATGACGGGCATTAGTGAATAACTACGAAATAACTACAGAAAAAGGCGTTGTTGTTCTGTGGTTATAATAAGTAAAAATGATAAGAAAATAAAAGCCTTACTCTGGAGCTCTGGATAACATGATCATCTTTGTCAACTACCACATCTTCTAGAAGCCGAGCAGATGAGTTGCTGCTGACGAGGTCTGGTTTGGTCCTCTTCAGCATGAACCTTGCAGAATAGAAACACGCATAAAGTCGTAAAGTACACAGCACAATGAACTTTGCAGATAAAGTGTGCTTGTGGTAAGGCAGACAGCTTGTTTGTTTATATATCATTTTGTTTTTCAAAACCATATCATTTTCATTACTTGGTAGACAAAGAAGATAAGCATCCAAAACATAACGTATCTAAATAACTGGTACATTATTACTTAACTAAGAACACACTAATGACCCATATCATTTCACTTTAATCTTCCATATTCCAAATAATATGCATTTGATCAGATATTATAACAGTTTTAGTTTCACTTCAACCTACCGCTGTTTCAATCTTGATGTTTTGTCGTGACTATGATCCTTATGGTTGAGCTCATCTCTTGAGCCAGCAAAGCTGTGGGCTGACTTCATCAGCACTTCAAAGTCAGAGTCCATCTCCTCCTGCTCTTTCCTTCCTGAAAGGACAACTGGAATTAATTACAGCGAGACACTGGGGAGCTTAAGCAGAACAACAAATCAAGGTCATTATTGAAGAATATCAGTCATCTGGATAGTGGATAATGGAGAACTGCAAATAACAGCTACTCACTGCTCGCACACTAATTCTGTCACACACTTTTAATCTTGTAAGAGCTTCGTATTTTTACATCATGGGTAATGTCAAGGTTTTTGAGCCTAATGTGAACCAAACAGCTCCTTTTTGTAGTCCTATGTGAAGTAATTGTGAGTTGTCTGCGGTTGACACACTGTATTTGATATTATATGATGCAATATCACCTGAACCTGGAGAGAGAGAGTTGGAGGCGGCTGGAGGCACCCCCCCCGCTGGGCTTGTGAGGACGGCAGCACATTGGATGGACATGCTGAGCCGGTAAAAGCCCATCTCACTGCTTCCACCGTGGTGTGCAAACATCCGCTGGGAAACCCTCAGGCTGGATAAGGAATCCTTTGAGCCACTGACTCTGGTGACCTTGAATAAGATTTGAACAAGATTTTGAGGATCAGTGCTGTCAATTAACCAGTGCTATGAGCAACTCTGGGTCCCACAGAGCCACTGCAGCACACTACATCCTTGAGAAGACATATTAACAAAGCTACTGGGTAGAAAAACAACCTATATGGTACACTCACCTGTAGGTTGTGATCCTCAGGCTTTATGGAGGTAAACTGAGGCTGTTTCCAACTCATCCATAGGACTGGGGCTCTGGCCATGTTGACAGCAAACGGTTCGTAGCCCTCCTGCAGGCCGCACACAGCAAAGTACTGCAGAGAGTCAGTGTGGCGACCCAGGTTCAGCCTCCCCACCTGGTTCACTCCAACACTGACCACTGGCAACAGGCCTGGGAAACATTTGGAGAAACAAGACAAAACATATTTCAGGACGATAAATATGTATTTTGCAAAAGGGACAGTTCACCCCAGGATCAACATTATTTGTTCTCCTTATTGTGATCAGTTTCATGTAGGAACAACGCCCATCAACCTTATTACCTGGCAGAAGGAAGCATATTTTACTCATTATCACCTGTTGGTGGGTGTAGTTTGGTAGAAACAAGGTCTGTAAATTATCTTGAGTTATCCGGTAATCATTTGAAGAAAGAGAATTGAATACTTCAAGGCAAGTTCAATTTAAGTTGCATTATATATAGGAAAAGTCAGACATCTGTTCAGTTGACATCATCAACACTTACACATGACACAAAAAAATCTAGGTTAATAAATAGCAGATATGGTAAGAGATTTTGGAATTGTACTGCCATATTAAAAACAACTATTTATTATATTCCAGTTGAATAAACACTAGCTTATACTTTTAAATAATTGTATAAAGCCAAGAACTCTTTCAGACCGTCTCCGATATCAAAGTCCTTGGCAGCCAGCTCCGATCCTCTGTCATTAAACAGCACCTCTCCATTCAGTGTGACCATCATGGTGCGTTCGGCCATGTCCACCAGGCAGCCCACCACATCGCCTCTCTGCCAGGGCCGCCCCAGGGGCTCCACACCCTGATGGTACCACTGAGCCTGAAACAAAGACAGGAGTTACAGAGAGTCGCCTCACACAGTAACAGGGAAAGAGTGATATAACTAACAACTAGGGCTGTCCCGAATACCATTTTTTGGGCTCCGGATATTTGGTAGTAATCAGCAGCGAATATTCGGAGCGCGCATCAACACGTGTATTTCGGTTTATTCAAGGCATTAATTTTGTTATTCTACAGTATTGTTGTTTTATAGTTATTTGTTAATGTGAATAACCCAATTTATGTTCTTGGAAATTGAAAAGGATATTGTGTTTGTTACTTTCGTTGCAGTTGTATGTCTTAAGTGTAATTTGGATAGGCTTCCTATTTTGTATGGACATGCTTTTATTTTGAAGGAGAGTTAGCGATGTTGACAGGAAGTTGTTGTTGCTATGGAAACAACCTGACGATCAAAAGGAGCGGAGATTAACGGAGAAAATGTATATCTACATATAAAGACGGAGAAAGTAAACAATAAAGTTTATGGTTAAGAACTTGCGCCTCTTCGGGGGGCGACGTTACGTTGATATTGGAGATTTCAACTGCGGCTGACAAAAAAAACGGAAAAAAAACGAATAACCAAATAACGAAATTGAAAACAGAATAGTGGCCCAACGACCGAATATTCGGGTAGAGTCCTACTAACAACTAGCAGATTGAGATACTTACTGCTAGTCGGACTCAAATCAAAAGAGCCACAGAGGCTGCTTATGTGTTTGTCCCTTATTTTACAAAGTGGGAAGTGTAGCAATGCTTTATTTGTGCTGAAATGTTGACAAAATAGCAATGTATGGCTATATCAAGTGTTTAATCAGAGTTTTTAAATCCTAATTACGGCTTTTTTAATGTTCAAGTGAATTGAATTCAGATGATAGTCCTGGATGTTCGCTTTCTATTGCCTAATTTCAGTTCCTCTGAAGCACATTTTTACAGACAAGCAGAGAGCCACAGTTCTTTCTCTACAAAATATCCTCTGATCATCCATTATTTATGATCTCAACCAAGCACCAGTACGTAAACAACTTCTGACTTTTTAATCACGTTCAGTCAGATTTTAAATGATGTTTACTGTGAGTGTAAATCAAGAAATGTCAGCTATGTTTTCTAATCAGAATATGAAAAACGGCAAAATGAGGCTGAACAAATGTCCCCTGTGCTTGGGGCTTACTGATGTTTTAACAACTTCAAATTTGAGAGTTCTTAAAATGTTCATGTGAACCATCACATTTAAATGTCTCACCTCAAATCCATCAAAGACGTACGCCTGGTCATCTGAGCCGAGCTCTTTATCTGGAGCACAGCTCGGTCGGGCCCAGCCCACTTTCATATTCCCAGCAGTCACTATTTCAAATTCAAAGTACCACTTCCCCCGAGTTACAGAGAAAGATTTATCTGGTCTGAACACTCTGCTTTTCTCAGTGGGAAAGGGACATGGATTGGATATCGTGGCTGTCAACCCAAGTAAAAGAAAATATATATTAGCTGCCAAATAATCACTTGTTTGCATTTCAATTCAATTCAATAGAGAGAATGAATAATACATCTATAAAATGGTGCAGAAATAATCTGTAATAGTTTATAAATTGGCAAACAGTTAACAAACAGAGCCCTATCTTTATTTAAAGTGCACCTATCATGCTATTTTTAGGAAATAGCGTAGGTCTCAGATATATAAAAAGATATAAAAAACATGTCTATATGAAGTGTTTTGCTCAAAATACCAAACAGATCACCCATTCTAGCCATGCCTCATATCCCTCTATTTCAGGGACTACTGTCTAAACTAAATACTGCGGTGATGAAACGCCATATCATGGATTATCAAGGATTATATCTGAAACAGTATGGAGCTCAAAGGCTTTCTCTCTTGCTGGTTATACCACAAGGTGAGTTCCTTTTTATTTCCTGCTTCTTCACACACATGCTCTGTGCAGTACAGGTTAGCTCTGAGTGTTAGCGATGCTAATGTAAACATGCACCGACCATATTACGTCCAAAACAGTCGGGCATTGTTTCTGATAGGGCCGTGGGTGTAAAGCCAGCCTACATTTCCGATATTTCGTCATATCGAAAGCAAATCTGGATCAGCTCCGTTGTAGCCCCGTTTTTAGAGATTTGGGTACGGAGGAAAAGAGAGAGGGTTTTATTTTCTGACGCTGCGTGAGTTCCCTGACACACCGGGGACACATATTTATGTATAAAAGACATAAAAAAGTGAATTTTGCATGATAGGTCCCCTTTAACGAGCATGCACTATCTTGTACTTTCACAATAAACAACAGTGTATAACAGAAAATGACAGTGCTTTGATACACACTCTTTTCCTGGTTGAGAGGCTCCAAACTGTAACCGTAGGCCAGCAGGGTGCACACACTCTCTCTGACACTCTCCCGGCCCACTCTCCAGCTCCTTTCATCAAGCAGGCAGTAGGGCAACAGGTACGAGCTCCGCTTGGCTTTCACATCCTAAGAACACAGAAACAAAGAGCAAATGCACATGACACACGGAGCAACTAGTGTACATGTGGAAGAAAACAGTAGCCTTGTTTGTGTGGCAGAGCATGTTGTGACAGAGACAATGTACAGGGAATTGTTTTTTATTTACAATATTCTAAATGCCAGCTAAATGTAATAAGTTGAGAAACATTCTCTACAACAGTTCAAATGAAATGTATCCTAAGCAGTGACTAGGCAACACAATAATACAGCACAACATATAAACCTGTTGGGGTGAATGGGTCCATCCCTGCTTGATACGCTCTCTGGCCCACACGTTGTGATCGTTCTCTGCCAGCAGGTCGACCACCTCCTCGTGGGCTGGGCTCAGAAACACCTGGAGAGGGTCTACTGGAGACGGTCTGTAGCCGCTGGGCTGCTCGTACCTGAGAGAGGGAATTAGAAAATGGATATGAGCAAGTCAAGATCAGGAATGACACTATGTAGTTAAATCATTGATTATGATTCAGTAGAGTGGTTAACATGTTCATTAATAATACCGTAGGCAAACTTTTCATGAAAAGATAAACATGAGACAACCCACATGTGGCTACAAACAGTGCACTATTTTAAATAAATGAAACCCCTTCCACCAATTACTCCTATACGCGACGGCTCAAAATAAACAAAATGAATCAATGTGTGAAAAAAGACTTTATTAATCATTATAAGGAAATATTTCAAAAATATTTGTTCTACTTTTATCAAAAGTCACAGTAAGGATTTTAGATTTTTTTTGAAAAAACACATTGCGTTTTAACCTAATACTTTTTTATGTTATGACTCAAATTAAAACAACATGCAAACCAAAATATGATTTTAGATGTATGTTAAGAAAAGCCCATTGAACTCTTCTGCTATGAGGAAATCCAACATTTTAGTTACGAGAATGAAAATAATATCAAACATGTACATACTTGTTGGCTAGTCTCATGTATTTGACTTTCTCCTCAGCATGGTCAGCAGTCAAACCAATGTGAAAGCCAAGAGCCAGGAGAGTCCTACAACAGAAAAACAAACAGAAACGTATAAACTTAAATCAAGCTTTGAAAGCATTTACAACTCAAAAGGTTTCAAAGTAGTGTGTATTGCAATAATGCAGGTAGTAGATCTCACCTGAGTGTGTCCTGGGCCATCTGAAGGTTCTGGTTCTTCTCCGTCTCCGACAGCTTGCAGAACTCCATCACACACGGATCATGCCTCTTACCTTCATCTTTCACCTGTTTGACAAAAGCTGATATTTGTTACGCTGCAAATAAAACTGAAGACAGCTGGACACATCAAGTCAATGTTGCGAGTCTCTTATAATGTGTATATATAAAATGTGATTTCCTTTATGCAATGTGATTTTGTTTCTGTTTTCTTACAGGTCCATATGTCCATCCAAGATCAATCTTTTCCATTGTCCAGAGTTCATGGATATTCTCAGCCAGTTTTTCTCTGATATCCTCAAGTTGTGGGGGCATTACCACCTGAGGGTAATATGAATTAAGTATAAGGAACTAAACCACATCTTTATGGCATTTTACAACATAAAAGATCAACTTCATATTGGATGCCATGTATAATATCGTTAATCCAATATTCATAACACGTTTTTGTTCGTCTAAAATCACTGGTACAAAAAGTTAGAAAAGACATGTTATGTTAAACAAAATAAATAATAAATAATAAAGAAAGTCAGTTCGACTGATGGGGATTTTTTACCTTGCTGATGTCTACTGGTGTGGGAGTAAAGGTCATTGGACTGGAAGGTACCGAGGGGCCAATGAGCTCCAGTTTCCCCTCTCCTTGATCCAGGATGTATTTCTGACACGGCTCTAACTTCAGCTTGACTCTCGGGAGCAGAGCGTCACAGCATGGAGCAAAACCAGGTGGGGGCAAGAAGCGAAACTCTCCATGCAGCCCCCCAAACAGGAAACGGACCCTGATTTTAAGGAACAGGACAAGGAAGACATAAAGAATGACGTTTGCTTTTGACTGATACTTAAAATGATTGGAAAATGATTACTTTAGGAAAGACAGTCTATGAAAAACAAATATCAAATATTATTGAATAGCGAATATCATTTTCGCGGTTCCTAATTGATTGTTGTATTAAATTTCATTTTAAAATGTCATCAGTTCAATTACAGTTTACAGATGTTGTTTGTAGCCATGTTTTTATTTCATCACGGCAAATTAAAGTCCGCTATACACTGCATCAATTGCACTTTAGTAAATGAACTTAACTAATAATGTCTACATATATTGTCCCTTGTTGAAAAATCAATAAAAATGAAATACAAATAAAGGAAAATTAAACAAAATAAATATCCACTACTGACTTGACTCCGGCAGAGAAGCTGACCACAGGATGGAGAAGTCCGTCTGCACTGAAGTTCTCCAACATGCCCTGCACAGGCAGTCCGTTGACCCGGAAAGAGATGCAGGGAGCGCTGAGGTCCAGACAGCAGCTGACCACGTCCTCGTCTCTCAGGAGGTGAGGGACGGCCGAGCTCACCCTGCGACCCACGCAGCCTGACATCCAGGAGACACAGCCTTTCAAGTAATTTACATCCTTTTCCCTTTTTTTAACATTTATATTTTGTTAGACATTTTCAAAGATGTCATACGGACAAGGACATGGCTCACACACATCACAAACAGAACAATAACATGAAGGGTGGGGGGGGTAGGGGGATTACAGTGTCAGTTACATTTTATGTATGCATATGGTGTTGTATTTCAGGGTTCATACACTTTTTCACCAATGATTTTCAATGACTTCTCCATGACCTTTACCTCATTTTCCATGACCAAAAAAATTACTCTTTCTCAGCGGTACCACTGAAAATGGTTTATTTTAACATGGAACAGGAAAATAAAGTCTGCATATGAAACATGTTGTGCCTATCTAAAACAAATCAAATAGTAGGCTTACTAGCTTCTACAGGCTAAAGCAAATAAAATCTCTCACCAGCAAAACACCTCGTCAGTTAAATGCCATTTTACGTTTCATTACTAAACGATACAGTAGGTTACTTATCATTATAGTATACATATTTCGGCGATTAGATAAAATAGAAATTATATTTGATGCAGACTTTAGTTACATTTCCATGACTTTTCCAAAACTTCGGGAAAAATATTGTTTTCCATAAATTTTCCAGGGCCTGGAATTAGCATTTTGAATTTCCATTACTTTTCCAGTTTTTTAATGACCGTAAGAACCCTGGTATTTATACATGATTTGCTTCATAATATAGATATACTTCATTTTTTCCTCATTATTATAAAACAAAAAATGACACACACACACACACACACACAATTAATTCACCATTTACATCCTTTTCTAATATTTGTTGTCAGCGTTTGAGAAGAGCAACACACTTTTGAGACTGAATGAATTATACTTATTTAAATGAAACACAGAAAAACTCAAATAAACTGCAGGCTTGTCTGAATTGATCTTAATGGTGTATTAAGAAACGTTTGTCTACACAAAAAGTGATGTTGCTAAACAAACAGAGTAGGGTCTAGCTTGACATATTAGATTGGAGAAGCACATAGTCACAGCCTAGCGGTATCAGTTTAGTTCGAGGATATTGTAGAATAAACTAATAGTCTCCTGGATAGCTTTTTTTCCATTCTCTTGGCTCTTCAATGACTGCTTTAATTGTATTTAGATGTTATTTTGTAATGGGTTTCTTTATAATTTTGTCTCCATGTGTTTAATGTTTTCTGGAAAGCACTTTGAATTGCTGTGTTGTTGAAATGCGCTATAGACATTATTGGATGGAGACCAGCATAAAAAGCATATTAAATACAATTAAAAGTATTGTTGCTGCATTCGGTGCAAGCAATATTGATGCTACCGTGGATTTATTATCAATGCTCCCAATTATCTCCATAAAGGATTTAGGGAACAAGCAGTTTTCTTTTGTTTATTAATTTCCGCCTATCAATGGAAGTCTGTTATTTCAATAGCTGCTGAGATTTCAAGTTTTCTAAAACCAGGCAAATTGAAAAGAATCAATTTTATTGATTTCAATGAGGTGTAGGTAAATCTCCAATGTAAGACCTATGGGCACAAAATAAAATGTATAAGAATGAATTTGAACCATTTTGTAACAACTCACTGATGTTTGCCTCAAAAAGTACCCCAGGCTATATGAAGTGATATATTCTTTTTAAAGTTTTAAACGTTCTGTTTTTATTATGCGATCTATATACACCTTAGTGCGTGAAATAATTCAAGATTACAGAATACAAAATTGAATCTGTATCGAGGGTCGTTTTTGTTTCCTGTCCTTTCAAATATCTCCTTTAGAAGTGACATCACATCCAATTAGTACTGACTCTCGTACCTGACCAGAGGTGAAGCCCATCAAAGCCGTAGGAGCAGAGGTCGTCTCCCACACCGTTGCCCCCCCAGCCCTCCCCTCCTGTGGGCCGGGGCTGGTAGCCCTCAGTGCGAGCCCAGCCAACGCGCAGGTGTGTGGGTTCAGATGTGAGGAAGGGGTCCACATGATCCACAACCAGCTCATAGTACCACCTCCGATGCTGGGCTGAATCCTCCCCCAAAGCCAAAAAGATGTTTGGCCTCATGCTGTGGTGGGGTGGTGTGCAGAGAGTCGGGAGACAACCAGAACGACAAAAAGACAGAAGATAGCAGGGCCCTTCCTTAGTAACAATGTGTTATATTTGGTTTGATTAAAATGATTTATTACAATATTCATAATTTCAGAGATATAATTAAGACCTAAAAATGACTGCATTATGATAACTACCACCGAAAAGAAGATAATCTTTGAGAATGACATGCAGTGTATGGTCATCTTAGACAAATATATCACCTTGTGAAAAATGCAGGTGCTCAGGTTGAAAGGTATGACTGCAGTACGTTCAACAACACTGCATTTTTTCGTACCGAATAGAATAATGAACTGAATATCAAATGAATGTGTAGTCAGCTGCTGCTAGATGCCTGTTTGAGATTCCTCTGCAGTACACACAGAGCATAACTCAACTCTCTTAGGCACAGCACATTGTATTCTTATGAATGGGTTTTCCTGGACCCACTCTTCCATTTGGTTTTATGAAAATAGTGCCTGTAGTTTTTCTTGCTGAAGAACAAACCAGACCAAATGCATAACTTTCTTGGCAGAGGAAAATAAGCAATACAGAACCAACTTCTAATTTCAACATCGCAATATTAATACTGAAACAGAAATACTTAAGAGAATTGAGAAGCAGCGTGTATGACAAACAATAAGATGGAGACTTATTCGCAAAATAAAGTAAAGTTCATATAGCGACACTCACCTCGCCCCTGACAGTTTTCATTAAGCGATAAACATGAGAATAGATGGTAGAAATTGGAGAAATTGGAAAAGGATGGAAAGAGATGTGACCTGGTTAAGAAGGGTCAGAAGATTGGATATAGACAAACAAATAATAGGAAAGGGTATCTGAATAAGTCTACAAAATGTGGAGAAGATAAGAAAATCAATGAGATAAAAGAAACGAGGAATGAAAGAAAAACAGAAGCACTAATGAGCCATTCAGATGAAGAAAAAGTAAAAGTGATAGAAGGAGAGATGGCTTGAGGAGCAAGAGATCGTTGGGGAATGGACTGAGCAGGTGCAAAGAATATGGAACAAAACAAGCTATACGGCCTGAGGAACAAAATGGGCCGCTGATAGAGAAAAGCATGATAAATGCAGATGGAGTTTTAAAAAAAAATAGCTCAAAGGAAAATAAAAAAGGAACCAGTCGACAAGATCAGACTGGCACAGCCGGCCAAAAATATTCAGACAAAATATGATGAAACTGGGGGGAAAAAATGTTCAAAGCAATATAAGTGAGCCTTCTCGCTTCAGGCAAGAAGTACCGGTATATAAATAAATATCAGACATCTGCGCTCGGACAATAACATCACTTTCTTATCAATTCAGAAAAACCAGTTGGTGCACATACTGTATGAAGACAATTCTTTTTCTATTAACTAGAAAAGATGAGTGATGTGGAGAAAACTGAAGGGATACTTGTAGACCAAGATGCACGTCAGGTCAGCTATACAAACGGAGCCTGGGACCTTAGATTTTCATCGTCATAACCACACTGTAGCTATGTACGTATGACTATTAAAAGCCTTGAACCTTGCAAGACTTCTAAATGCAGACGACTGACTCAGAGACAAAACTCAAGTCATTGTGTTTCGAGATTTCTAAAATTGTACCTGGTGACCTGATTAGCCAGCCGTGTTTGCAGCAGCAGGTCTCTTTCAGGCAGCAGGTTGTCACAGATGAGGTTTTGATTGGACCGCACAGCTACACCATGACACACACACAGTGAGCACAGCACCTCCAGCACCTGCAAAACAGCAGCTCATTCAGCAATAGCTCGATAAACACATTTAAATTATCCCACAATGGGGAACAGATCATTATCTTTCTGTGTTAGCCCGAGTTCATTTTGTTTTCAAAACATGTTGAAAATGAATACAAAATAGTGCCACAAAAGTCATCGGAGAATTTGCATTATTGTGTTTCAGCAGAAATACACATCAATCATGAGTGACACACGTATTTTGCTTAAATTATTGATAAAGTCTATTACTTTTCCAAATGTAAATGACAAAAACATTCACCTTGTAGTTGCATCCATGCTTGTCTAGAAAGGAAATGATAGATTGAATGTGTCCTTCTTTGATGGCATTGAGTGCTTCAGGGCTTTCCACTAAGACACAGTGTAGGACCTCCAAGACACCTGCACATAGATGTTGTTTCTTATTATTGTTTGGAAGATATCCTTTATTTATTGTCGAACATTCTTTACACTGCCATGATGCTGAGATAACATATGGTAGCAAATGTTAGAAATAATGTAGAGAATATTAAAGTGTTTACAGGAACTTTGCAAAACATAATCTGAATGATTTAAAACAACTCAACCAGTGGCCTGTACTACGAATCCAGTTCAACATACCCTGGATATGTTTGAGTTATCTGGCTTAACTAACCCAAAACAAACGCGCTCTCGCTAAGCGGTCCTACGACGCTGGTTATCAACTCGGTAACTCAACCCAGGGTTTCTCTGTCTGGCTGAGTTCACGTGAAAGGGGCGGGGTTAGCAACATTTGACCAATCACAAACATGGACAAGCGTACTGACAGCACAGCTGACCAGCTGACCAGAGTCAGCATGAAAAGTGAACTATAATATTAGACAAATATTAAGACGTTAAACTTCAAACATCCATGACTTAAACACTTTATCCAGGATAAAAGCCACATAGCTGCACCTGCAAGGTGAATACAGCTGGTAAAAGAAAAAGCATTTGAATGCGTACATTAACAGGTTTATGATATCACTGCCCCGTCTAAGACACGAGTGGATCTGACTTTAATTACATTTGTCTCGAGTGTTTCGTGAACTTAATGTGTTGCTTAAAATAATACTTCTGCATACAGTATGTGACACTATGAGTGTTGCACGGCCAGATACGGCTCAAGAAGCTGACTCAGATAAGGAAATATATGATACATTATGATGTGATATGAATGATAATGGGACACACATCGACGTCTGCAATCAGTCCAGACTGTACGTAATGTTACTTTGATCCGGTTGCTTATGTTGTGGCAGATATTTAAAGTGGACCTATCATGCTATATTTGAATAATATAGAGTAGGACCATACCTATATAAAAGGCATATTTATACGTTTTATTTTTCAAAATACCAAACAGATCATGCATTTTAGCCATTCCTCATTTCGCTCAATTTAACGGTCTTTTCATGGGCTGATTCTGTGAGAACAGCACCATCTACAGGCCTGGCATATGTACTACAGCGTCTCCAGCACTTTCGAACGGCAATGTCCGTGGCTGTCTCCTCCTGATTGGTGGAGTTGGCCCAATAGCCGTAGCGCCACTTCTGTGACGTCACAGAAGTGTTCAAATCTGGATCAGTCTGTATCAGATCCGTTGCAGCCCCTTTTTAAGAGATTTGAGTATGGAGGAAAATAGAGAGGGTTGTGTTTTCTGACCCTTGGTGAGTTCCTTGGAACACCGGGGACACATATTCATGTATACAAGATGTACAAAAGTGCATTTTGCATGATAGGTCACCTTTAAGTAAGCTTTGTTAACGTTAATGTTATAATAGTCAGATTGCTCTGAAGATGGGAGGTAATATTCTATTCATGTTCACGTTCACACAGTCAGGTGATTTTGGCCGGCCGTCTTTCCTGCAACGGCATTTCCTTTCTCCTGTAATATCACTTGATAGCTTTAAACTCCGCACACTAAGCTCTGATTGGTCAGCAGGCGGTGCTTTCACTGCGTTGATCTCTTATCTGGAACCTAACCTGCTCCAGACCAGGCTAGCCGTTCAGCATAAGTTACCATGGAGATCTAGCCCGCTAATAAGTGAACCTGCGTCGTAGGACCGGTAACCCAGAGTTAACCCTGAAGTTACCTCGCTAAGCGAAAATCCGGCTTCGTAGTATAGGCCACATGTGTACTAAAACTAAGATCAACGTTTTCTATTTTGTTAGAACGTTTTGCAAATTAAAAACAAAACAGGAATATTAATTAATTGCCCACAAATCCAACCAACCACAAGAGGCCTCCAGACGGTCCAGCCTGCTGATCAGCCAGTCGAGAGAACTGGAGAAATGTGCACAGTTTACACGGTTTCCCCGGATCAGAGCAGCTGCAGGAGCGAAATCAGGATTTTATTTGAAGGGATTTCAAGACATAGCACTTAGACACAACATAATCCATGTTTTCCATGCAAAATAGAAGAATCAAAAGCATGTTTAGGGCAACTCGTAGATAGGTATTCCAGTTCAAATCTAAATGGGTTAACATCAGAAGAAAATGTGTTTGCAATTGATGATCGATGTTGTAGTGTCAGTATTAAAAAAACAAATGGATATTGGGTAATCTACACCGAGAAGACGTGTGTTACTCCTCACCCAGCAGCTCGTAGAAACGGTTGAGGATGGTCTCCCACTCTTCTCCTTTGTCACTCTGTGCAACCTCAGCAAAATGAGAGCCACCGCTGTAATGGTGTAGACGATCAATACAATCCAGAACCAAATCTATTACACCCTGAGAAGAAAAGAGAACAAACTCAAGGAACAGTGACAAGCAATTCACATGTAGGGCCGGTTTAATGATTCACACATAGATTTACCTCTTCTTGAAACATGTTCTGCCGACTCTTCAGCGCTCTCATGTTGTTCTGCTTAGCTTCATGGCTCTGCCCCTCCGATGGAAGCTGGAAATATTTGATTAGATCTTGCAGACTAAATGTCACTATCTCCATTGGCAGGCTGACAGATTTGAGGTTTTCTTGTTGGCTTGAACCGTCCAGTTTCCTAAAGATGGATAGAATACTTCATGAGAGAATTTTCTATGAGACTAATCTGTTGCCTTTATTAGTCCCACAGAGGGGACGTTAGTTGTCAGGCCCTTTAAAAATTGGTTGAGCCAAAGATGATTCCATCTTCTCCATCGCTTTTCTCAGTGCTAACAGTTTTCACAGTGACTCGTCCTAAAACCCGGAAGTAAACTCCTTCCGGTTCCTTTGACAAAAACAAATGCAATTTCTCCATAGGATTTTGGAAAATAGCTCGAAATAAGGTCTGTGGTTGAAACACATTTAAGAGACGGATCACGTTTGGTTCAGCCGGATAATCTCCACATGTCTACCCTACTTTTATAATTTTCAAATCATAAATCTAGTCGCCAGAAGCTAAATGCTAACTTTATGCTATAAACGAACTACAGCAGGGTCGCTGCTTCAACGTCACGCTAACTTAAGATCCATATTCAAAACTACAGATTCAAAATGGTACAAGTTGAAGCGTTTGTTTTAACAGTTTGCAGGAGGCAGGTACTTGCTTTCCAGCAGAACATGGGGGAAAACAAACTTAGCAGGAGTGTTTACGTGTTTGGTGTAATGACGTAAAACGGCCTCGACAACTTCTGTAGTCCTATTCAGCCACTTGGTAACAACCATCACGTCAACTCTTCAGAAATCACTGCTGATGTATTTAATGTTGTAGAACAAAACGTGATCCGTCTCTTCAATGTGTGTCAACCACAGACCTTATTTCAAGCTATTTTCAAAAATCCTATGGACAAATCTCATTGCTTTTTGTCAAAGGAAGCGGAAGTGGTAAAAATGCTTCCGTTTTTTAGGACGAGTCACTGTGGCACTCTATTAAAGTTAATTAAATTGAGTTTCCAGCTTTTTAATCAGCATGCCATTATTCCAACAGCTTACTTTTTTTTTTGTATACAGTTATTATAAGAAATCTGTAATGGATGATACATGAACCTGGCCTTGTGAGGTTTTTTCGCTCTCACAAGGACGGCAGGAAACATCGACAGTCACTCGGTCATTTGTGAATACCACACTGATAGAGACATTGTTACAATGACTTGGAGTCAAGACAAGGTATTCAGTACCTGATAAAGCAAGTGAAGAGTAGAGTAGCACTACGGATAAGTCTGGCAGTGTGAGATTCTTCCCTTTGAGAACGAGACAGCGTCAGCCCATCGTCCATATGACCCTCGCTGTGCAGAATGGCCTGGAAAAACATCATTTGCAAACATTCCTAAGTCTTTCTAAAAGTGCAAATCAGTGCATTTATGTTAAATCAATATATAGTCAAAGAAATTAGTCCTACCCCTTTGGTTAATCAATAATTATTGTCTTGATATAAACGTTTTGAATGTAAGAAGGTATACCTTTCTCTGAGCCCCTCCCATGCGTGTAGATGCGTCCACAGCTTGGTAGGTGAGCCAGAGTCCAGAGTCTACATGCTGAACGTAACAAATGGAGTCTCCATACTTGATCTCTGGGATCCCCATGCCATCGACGTTAGTCTTTGTGCCAGCGTCAAGCTTCTCCTGTATGGGACAGTGTTTCATGTTTCACAATCAGGTGTGTTTATCTAATACACAAATGACCTTCCTTTAACTCAGTGGTTCCCAAACTTTTTCAGTCAGGCCCCCCTTGTGTAATTGGAAATATTTCCGAGCCACCCCTAGTCCGGTTCCCACTGAGATTGGTAGAATTAAAAATTGTATATAGTTGTACAAAAATTACATTTTCTCTGCTAATAATAATAATAATAATAATAAGACAAAAAGAACCAATTATAATTTTATATTTTATTATGGATTGAACATGAACATAAGTTAGACCCTCCAGAAAAACGCGATTCTGCGATCGCAGAATTTACCGCATAATCAGCAAAATGGCGCAGATTTTTAAAATGCCGCATATTTATCAAAAGGCCGCATAATCCCCGCATTTTTCCACACAAAATTGAGGGAAAAAAAAGTTAACTCGTCTTGTCGTGACGTCATCAGCTCGCGCATCACAGAATGTAAACAACACTGTATAGAGTGAACGTGTGGAGCTCACACGATAGAGAAAACACCAAGATGAAAAAATCTAATCCATCTCATTTACCGACGAACATTTTTACTAAAGACCGGGCAAAAAGTGGGGGGAAACTATTCTGCACCCCGTGCAACTGTGTGTTGGAGCATAAGAGAAAATCGACGGTGACGACCCACTTTGATTCATTCAAACATTCGAAAATGCTTTCTGCTGCTGCGGACAACAAAGCCAAACGACTCACGCTCACCGAGGCATCAACCTCCAAAACCCTTTTCGAGGGCTACAAGAAATGAAGTGAGTAGCTTACAAGATTTAAGCTGGTCAGATAACGAACGAGTAAATGAAAACAGAATGAGGTGTGTGTGTGTGTGTGTGTGCCCAATTGCTTTTACAATAAGTAAACATTGAATGTGTTTAATTGAATAGTAAANCGAACATTTCTACTAAAGACCGGGCAAAAAGTGGGGGGAAACTATTCTGCACCCCGTGCAACTGTGTGTTGGAGCATAAGAGAAAATCGACGGTGACGACCCACTTTGATTCATTCAAACATTCGAAAATGCTTTCTGCTGCTGCGGACAACAAAGCCAAACAACTCACGAGGCATCAACCTCCAAAACCCTTACGAGGGCTACAAGAAACGAGGTGAGTAGCCTACAAGATTGAAGCTGCAGATAACGAACGAGTAAATGAAAACAGAATTAGGCGGAGAAGTGTGTGTGTGTGTGTGTGTGTGCATGAGATTAAAATAGCCCAATTGCTTTTACAATAAATAAACATTGAATGTGTTTAATTGAATAGTAAAGGGGTTTAACGTTAGTGGCAGGTTGTGTGTGAGAGAGAATAAATAAGACAGCCCAATATTTTAAAAAAATCGATAATTTTTTCCCGCATATTTCGCATATTTCGCAACTTTCCGCATATTTCGCAACTTCCCGCAATTTCACCGCATAAAATCACATAAAAACCCCGTATGTTTGATCGCATAATAAAGGATTTTTGCCCGCGTTTTTCTGGAGGGTCTAAGATATATACAAATATATAAAAAACATGTCTATGATGTGTTTTGCTCAAAATACCAAACAGATGATGCATTTTAGACATCCCTCATATCCCTCTGTTTCAGCCCTGTTAGAGAAACGCTGATTGTGGGTCCTTGGCTTGAAAAAAGAGGAGGGGGAGCTAATGCCTGCTCAGAAGAAAAGCTGCCGTGATTAAACGCCGTGTTCCAAACCACATCAAGGATTATTTCTGAAACAGTACGGAGCTCAAAGGCTTTCTCTCTTGCCGGTTTTACCACAAGGTGANGGAGCT